TCCTTCCCCTACTGCCCTGGGGAGGAGCAATATGTGGGGAAGCTGGCTATCAGATGGAGCCAGAACGCCCTCTGCCTGCCTGCCTGCCTGCCTGCCTGCTGTCCTGGGCCTGGTACAGTATCTGGGATTGGTTTTAAGCTTGTAAATAATTTTACATTTGGGTTAGTGGATGTGAACAGGGCTAGAAGAGTCCTTCCCACTTGCTTTCCTGCCTCAACTCTAGTCTCATTCCACGATGCCCCAAGCCCTGGTGGTCTGTCCCTTTCTTTTTCCTCCTATCCTCAGGGACCTGTGCTGCTCTGTCCTCGTGTCCCACTTGGTTGTTTAGTTCAGGCACTTTATCATTTTTCTCTCTTGTGCCACGCTCCGCTCTGCTTTATTTCCCTGCTGTGTCCTGTCCTTAGCAGCTCAATCCCCACTCTTTGCCAGCTCCTCCTTCCCAGCAGGCCCCAGCTAAGCTTTAGGGAGGCTCCTGTCTAGGAGGTGCAGACAAAGCCCGGGGTGGTGGGTCAGGTCAGTAGTTATGCAGTTGGTCGCTGTAGCCCGTGTATCCTCCACTGCACCTTTGCCCTGGTTCATCCCAGCCTTTCCCAATGCAGGATGGGAGCAGGGATCCCACAGCACATGCGCCAGCACTACGTTAGTGAGCAGGAGCTCTGTCTTGTGGGGCGAGGGGCTTTCTTACTATCTTAGGGAGGAATAAGGAGACCTGCTTCTCTGGGCCATGGTCCAAGTGTGGTGGGACCCCCTACTAGGGTCAGGAAGTGGACAGTAACATCTGTGCAGGTGTTGAGTGGAACAATAAAGTATTGATGGCTAGAACTGCTGCTGCCTGCCTGCCTCACTGTGAGCTGTCTCCCTCACTCTGTGCTCTGCCCTTATTTCATTGTCCCCCACCTCGCTCCTGGCTGTTTATTTACCTTCGTGCAAAACAAGGCAAGAAGCAAGGATTACCCTGACAGACGTAAGTAACCTGCCCTTAGCCATGTTCTCTGAATCTGTGATATGCTTGGTGAGATTGAGCACGTACAAATAAATTGTATGCAGGAGGAAATTGCTTTGGCTTCCCAGTCAGTAGAAATTTGGGACCATAATGATTGTTTTTTACAGTGTTGCCCGCAACCTTAACACTGTCTTCTCAAGAAGTCCTCACATGTCTACATGCTGACAATTAACTCCTTCGGTCCTCATTTATCTATCCTGGGAGAACCAAACAAGCAGGACCTATACCTGTATTAAAAGTGATTCCAGGCCCAGGAACATTAAAGAAATGGTGTCTAGTGCTAATTGAATGCAAGATATGTGCTTGGCACTCCTCTAGGTGATTTATATTAACTCGTTTTTCCCTCATGACCCTGAGATAATAGATACTGTTATTTCATTTTACAGATGTTGACTTTCACAAGGCCACGGCCTTAGTACATGGTGGAGCCAGAATCCAAACCCAAGCAGTTTGGCTCCAGCAATCACCCTGGAACAGGAAGCCCCTGTCCATTAGTAGGGCGCAAATGGGAAGATGCTCAGGGCGTGGGAATGATAGAGCACCAATCTGCATACTATCTCAGCTTCACAAAGAGTGGTCTCTTAACAATCCTTGCTCTTTGGGGGAGAACAACGTTAAAGGAAAGCCCAGAACTGGGCAGATGGCCTTTTTTATGAGTTCACATCCTCGGCCTTCAGTGGAGACACCATATGGCAATGCTACCTGGCTTTTTGAGGTTGACTTCTATGCTGCACCTCTCTTAAGCATGTGAGAAATTTTTCTTTTCCATTTGTTTTACATTTGCCTGAAAGACTCAGGGTTTCAATGGCCCTCCCTGTCTTTTGTCACTGAAGGCGTATGAATTTGTAATCATCGAGAAATTTCTGAAGAGAATGAGAAAACTGTTATAATCATCAAACAGGCAATTCAGGAAAAGTAGAATTAATCAGAAAAACAATGACTGCCGTCTGCCCCACCCGTAAACTATTTCCTTGTTAAACTTGCAGCTTGAAGATAGAGCCAGAAGCCTGTAGTTGGGTCAAAACATTAACCATATGTTTGGAGTTCCATGAGAGTCCATTCTTGACACTTGCCTTGGTCTGATGGTTGCTATACGTTTGTCTACAACTTTTTATTATCAGGTGTCCTGGCCATTTCCTGCCCCGTGATGAAAGAGACAAGAAGAAAGCTTTTCATACAAGTGAAAGAAAAATGAGCAGAAATGTGAAACCTACAGTCAGGCTAAAGAAAGAAATGAAGAACAGGCTGGGGGAAAAAGGGTCGGTTACATGTTTATGTTTGCAGGGGGAGGGCAGTGCCCCTTAGCTAACTACACATTCAAACAGCTAATAGTGTAATGTTGCTGCTCCTAAACTTAACTTTAGGCTGCATTACTGGAAAGAATATAATACCTAGAGTGTACTGTGCACAAGTTAGACTACTTGCAGAGGATGGCTTGCTATGCTTGTGGACAAGCTGGCAAATAGCAGAGTGCCAGAAGAGGATCACCAGAGATGAAGGCTGAAAATGTCGCCACGTGGAGCGTATGGGGAACTGTGAAGTAATGGTGCTGAAGCCAAGAAGGGAATGCTGAAGTAAGTCACGTCAGCTGCCGTCAGACTTTGCAGGGTTATCTGTAGTACTGCAGAGGGCAGAAATTAAACCTTTGAGAAGAGATTGATTAATAATAGTGTAGGCAGAATTTATTTTTCTGGTCAGAGATTTTGCAAAACAGATTTAAATGATCTTTAAAAGTACAAAGATCAAGGACAGAGAGTATAAGAATTTTCCATCATGCAAGCAAGGCCAGTATATCACCATGTTTTGCTTTTCGTGTCCAACTAAAGTCTCTTGGACTTCCTCCTCCTGCTCCCTTAAATGTTGGTTTTTCACTGCGTCTATCACTGGCTCACTTTTTCCTTGCAGTCTGCCTGGGCAGTTTCACTTGTTCACCCATTCAGTTTCCACTCATATGCTGATGACTTCTAAATCTTAGCTCCTTTCCCAGAACTTCCGACTAAGCATCTCCACTTGAATGTCCCACGAGCACCTTCTGCTCAACATAACAAAAACTGAACCCATGCTCTTTCCACTCTGCATTCCACCCCACTACTCCCCTACACAGATAGGCTTTTTCTGTATTTGCTATCATGCTTGTCATCACCACCAACTCGGAAGGTCTGCTTTTCTCTCATCCCATACCCAGAGTTGGGTGTGGAGTTGCTGCTAATTGGGTGTCCTAATTATTTCTTGATTCACCCCCCTCACAGCCCTGATTCACAACCTCCTCATCTCTCGCTTGGCCCAATGCAACAGTTTCCCTGTCCACACTCTTGACCCCCACCGAAATTTATGCCCAAAAAAGTAGCTAAATAAGTTAAAAATACAAATTGGGTGAGCTTTCTGCTATTTAATAGTAATCAAGGCTCTCCTCCTACAAGGTATCATTCAAGCTCCCTGATACGGTTAACAAGCCTTCTGAGGGACTTCCCTGGTGGCTCAGTGGGTAAGACTCTGCGCTCCCAATGCAGGGGGCCCAGTTTTTTGTTTTTGTTTTTTTGCGGTACGTGGGCCTCTCACTGTTGTGGCCTCTCCCGTTGCGGAACACAGGCTCCGGACGCGCAGGCTCAGTGGCCATGGATCACGGGCCCAGCTGCTCCGTGGCATGTGGGATCTTACCGGACCGGGGCACGAACCCGTGTCCCCTGAATCGGCAGGTGGACTGTCAACCACTGCGCCACCAGGGAAGGCCAGGGGGCCCAGTTTTGATCCCTGGTCTGGGAACTAGATCCCACGTGCATGTCGCAACTACGAGTTCACATGCCACAACCAATACCCGACGCAGCCAAATAAATATTTTAAAAAATAATTTCAATTAATTTATGAAAAAAAAAGAAGCCTTCTGAGATCTGCCCTTGCCCTGTCTTGCTCTTTACACTACAGCATCAACCCCAGACAGATTCCTTCCTTGGCTCAGCTGCACTGCCCTCCACCCCTGCTCTACACCCACACCCCTCATCCCTCCAGTTGCTAAACATTTCACTTGTCTTTTCAGATGTATTTCAGACCACGTTCCATTTTCGAAGCCTTCCCTGATGTCCCACATCACCCACCCCGCCCCCCATAGCAGACCTGCTCTCCTAGTGCTCCCTCAGTATACTGCTGTTTTTCCACATATCACGTAGAATCTTCATATTAGTATGGTGTATGGAGTACAGAGGTGTATGTGTTTATGGATAGATAGCTGTTGACAAGAGGCCTCAGTTCCTCATCACACTGACCTCTTCCTATGGCTGCTTGAGTGTCATCACGACATGACAGCTTCCTTCCCTAGAGCAAGTGGTCTAAGAGAGCAAGAAGAAAGCCATAGTGCTTTTTATGACCTAGTGTCAAAAGTCACACTCCATCACTTCCACTGTATTCTATACATTAGAAGCAAGTCACTGAGTCCAGCCCAAGCTCTTTAAGGGAAAAGTAGAAAAAAATTTGCGGACTTTTTTTTTTGGCTGCACTGCTTGTGGATCTTACTTCCCTGGCCAGGAATTGAACCCGGGTCA